CATTTTTTCCCCTATGGAATATATATACAAATTTGTCAGATTTATAAAGAAAAATCATCAACAGGGTAAGAAAATTATTGTACTGTATATTCTCTGAAACCACTGCAGAGTATGTTGGGGTCATATCGTAGTGGACATTAAAATATAATGTCATAAATCTATGTTTCTAATTCCAGGTGGCTGAATTGGTGACCAGTGAATTCTTTGAACAAGGTGACAGGGAAAGATCAGAGCTGAAGTTGACACCGGCTGTATGTATTCAATTACCAACAGATATCTCTGTGTTTTAAAATTAAATTAGCTGGTTTGTCAAATCAACAATTAAATTTTGCTCTCTCCTATCCAGGCCATTTTTGATCGTAATCGTAAAGATGAGCTTCCTGTGCTTCAGTTAGAATGGATTGATGGAATTTGCAAGCCATTATATGAGGTAAAACAGTTAAGTAGGTAAAGCAAATGAATTAACTCCAGCTATTTAACTTTTATACAGTGATGATAATGTATTTTATAGGCTCTTGTGAAGTTGAATAGGAAGCTTCAGCCGATGGTAGATGGAATTGATGCCAACCGAAAGAAGTGGGAGGAGCTTTGTCGGTCCTATCAGCAAACACGGAGAGCCTCTGAGTGCATCTCCAGTCTGGAGGCTGGAGAGACAGAATCGCCTCAGAGTTCAGACTCCACCCACGAGCCAGAATCAAGTCAGAGTGAGGTGACCAATCAGAGCGAAGACTCCACCCACTGTGTGGAGCCAAATCAAGCCACGGTAGCCAATTACAAATAAGAGGCGTGATGTGGCGATTAAAGGACGGCCCACTGAGTCAGGGCTTCCCAAACTACTTTTTCCTGAACCTCTTATACGCTGAGATTTTAAGTTAATATTTTAATATTCTAACAACAGATTTGCATATTCACAATTATCTGATTTTGGATGACTTTATTTAACAAATCTTTTTTTTAATAAATGTTTTATTTTAAAATTATTTATATACAGGGCTGCACAACTTGTCCAAAAATATTATATTGCATATTATACTGCATTAATTTGTCACCTATGGCGATTTTAAGAGTGATACCTCATATGAAAACATCTTATATTGCTGCTGATGAAACCATCTAAGACCCCTTTCAGGGTCTTTATTATTACTGTTATTTTTATTATTATTAGTGTTAACACAAATGATAAAAATGAAGTCATAAATGACTGATAATTATAAAAATAATTTCATATACACTAACTTTTTAATTTTACAAGTCTTAATTAAATTGCAGCCTTGGATAATCACACTAAGATATATCATGATTTCTATTTAATTTTGATGAAGTATGCATTTTAATTTGAGATTTGATTTAATTATTAGCTTCATCAACTCATGAAACCCTGGCGTTTCTAAAACCAACATTTGAGAAACCCTGCACCGAGTAATGACGACTGACAGCTTTCCTATGTTTATATATGAAAAAATGTGTTGCCAACCAAATTTTTGTATGTGGGCTGCTTTGAGATTGACAGTATTTCTATTGAAATTACATCAAGCATTTACAGCACAATTTTAAAACATTATAAAATGACTATCACTGGTTTTAAAAATAAAATATTTATTAAGAACCCATATTTTTTAGATTCTATCGCCGAAAAAAAAAATATATATAATGGAATATGTGACAAAACTGAATACGTGCAGGAAGTTCAGGTGCACAAATATTGAATGTGAGAAATAGCAGTGTTTCAAAAGCTCAGATGTTGTTCAGTGAGTCTGTGCTGCTATATTGCAAGTTACAAGTTTGCTTTCACAAAGCCTGGCATTACATAAAGATAAAACAGAGTTGCTGATAGGATTCCTATGCTTCAGATGTGGAAACTGAGCATTTGATGAATGTATAAATTAATATCACTGTGATCTTTTGCTGTTGTTTCTTTAGACTTGCATGGAAGCACTGGAACACTGTTATAACTGCTGATTGTGCTATATAATTTTATATTGAACATTATACATACGCATTGTTTAATGTTTATGTATGCATCTGTGGTCTCTTGTACCTGTCAATCAGGTCCTCGTAAAACAGTATAGGCCACATTTTTACACAAGATCGCATATCAGCTGTTCAAGTGGCAAACAGAAGATTATCCAGAATGAATGTGAAGTCAAACCAGCTATTAGGGATTCGTCCTTGATAGCTGATTCCTAAGATGAACCAAAGTCAATTCTCACAATACTAAAAACCTGAATTTGTTGCATGCAAAACTGAAACCTGTTGTTGGCATGTGAGTTTTAGTGTTTAAGTTTGTTACAAGTTACAATTTAGTATGTGAACTTTGTGTTTTTGAAATGCATTACAAATGCCATGAGAGGCATGCTGCAGAGCTTTGACAACAGCAGCTTTCTGCTTTAAATGGGAGTTAAACTCTCAGGTTGTGTTGCAGTCGTGCTACTGATGTTTGTTTTTATGTGCACACAGTCAGATTATGCTCTTTAAGTTCAGTCTGTCTCCCTTATTCAAATGAAATGTAATTATTTTTGCATTTATTTTAAAATGAATTGACATTTTGAAAAAGAAAAGAAAACCATTTATATTCATACACTAAAAAAGAAGGCCACAAATAGCTTTATATTTTATTAGCTAACATAAAATGCTCATATATCTATGGAAGCTTGTTTCCGACGACATAAAAAAGGTAACACTTTATTTTTTTACACGTTACATGTACTTACTATTATAATGACAATTAATTATGCATAATTACATGCAAGTAACCCTAATCCTAACACTAACCATATAGTATGTAGTTAATTAATATTACTCAGTACTTAAATTTATAATTACACTGTAACAAGGACACCTTAACCAAATATTATTTTATAAAATATTATATTTAAAAATGGTAATTGCGACTTTCTCTTTCACAATTTGGACTTTTGTCCTCACAATTCTGAGCGTATATATCCCCCCCCAAAAAATGGCAAGATATAAACTCAAATATGCTGTATATATTCTGAGAAAAAAAATGGTCAGAATTGTGAGATATAAACTTGCAATTGTGAGGAAAAAAGGCATAATTGTAAGATAAAAAAGTAGCAATTAACTTTTTTTTTCTTTTTTTTGCTCTGCGACAAAAATAAAAATTGCAAGATATAAACTGCAGAATTATGAAATGTAAACCTCGACTTGTGAGAAAAATAGTCCGAATTCTGCATTTATACAGTATTTTGCAATTCTGAATTTATATCTCATAATTCTGCTTTTTGCTTACACCACAGAATACAACATAAAATTAACTGCGACTTTTTATTTTTTCTCAGAATTGCAAAAAAAAGTCAGAATTGAGCATTATAAAGTCGCAGTTACCTTTTATTTTTTTTATTATTCCGACAAAACAGGCTTCCATATATATCATACTTGGTGCCTCAATCTGTCTCTTTTAGAGAGATTCTCATCCTGTATTTCAGTGGATCATATATCTATCAAATGCCACATGAATGACTATGATATACTGTGCAGTTTGTAAGGGGTACACAGGGTCTTTTCTTGCCAGACTGATTGCTGGTCATATTCCTCAGGCGGTTTTGTAAATAAAGAACACTGTGATGCGAGCGAGTGTGGCGATCCGTGATTGGCTGCATGCAGATGCTTTTGGAACACCCCTTAAATAATTAGACTTCTTATGTAAATGCCTCGCATGACAAATACTGTGCTCACATTATCATTCAGAAACATACTATGTGCAAATGACTGATATTAGTTCATAACTCATTTCCCAGCCTAACCTTTCATGCATATGAGTTTTGCATAATAGATATGCTGCAATTTGTAACAAGCCAAGCACATAAACAGCAAGCATAGCTTATGTAAAACAGCATATGCATAAATATTTGACCTGGGTGAAAGTGTGAGGACTGATGAAAGCGAGTGTTTGAAGTTGTAGCTGCAGAGAGAGAGAGAGAGAGAGAGGCTTTGTGCCGGACAAGCTGACTGATACAAAAGCAGCGTGGCCGGCTGCATCCAGCTCTGCTCTCTGTAATCTATTATTCAGCAGGGACTCAGCTGCCTTCCTTGAGGCTTTACAACCAAGAGAGAACAGGAATGAGGCAGAATAACTTCAGTTCTGTGTGTTTCAGCTCACAATCTCTGTATATACTGTGCCTTACCAACATATTCACAACCAGTTCTCTCATTTACCAGCTAACCATTTCCATATTGTATATCGTATTATATGTAAAAGAACCAAGGCTCAAGATTTTATAAATTTTACAAAATTCAACAGCAGAAATGTTATTTAACATTTAATTACACACCTTAACAGCTTATACAGACATTGTTTGCAGCACTATGGCCATGTGCCAGATTTGCAGACTTTTTACAGATTTAAACACAGATTTACTAGTATGATTTTGGACTGTTTATTGGACACATGCACACACACACACACACACATATACTGTATATATATATATATATGTATGTATATTAGGGCTGTCAGTCGAATACAATTTTTTATCTAATTAATTACATGATGTTTCGATTAATTAATCTAATTAATCGCAAAATAAATTTGACTGTGAAAATACCCACAAAAGATTATTTAAAGCTATTTTTGTGTTAAATGAGATAGTATAAAGTAGCCATTACAAATTGTAGCTTTAGAAAGAAATATTTTACATTCTTACAACTTCTGCTAACATAGAAAACAGACTGTCATAATCCAGGCAATAATTAAGATAGATTAGGTGGCCACCTGAATATAACATCTAAAAACTAACAGTATAGCAATGCATTCATCACAGATGAAAATTATAATGTTATATGGCTATTTACATAATAATAACAGTAGTGGAATAACAATTACATTCACCAGAAATTTAGAAAAGATCCAATTTATTTTGATACTGGATCAATTTGAAGAAATGAAACACTCTAAACGAGAGGCAGTATATAATAGGCTATTAACATTAATATGCATAGAAACTTGACAATGACAAGTTAATTATGCATAGAAACTCTTCATTTCTATGTCTGTCATAATAGCTTTGGGCTTTGCTAAACACATAATAAAGAATCACTTTATTATTAATTGTTCATTTTGTTGCTGCAGTGCAACAGTTAATTGGAAGGTTGGTATTCACCAATAACTCTTGTTGAAAAATAAATAAAATAAATCAATCTTGTTGAAAAGCAGTCTGCATGCAGTCTGCTCATGCCTTTAGTATTCTTAAAATAATAATGTAATGGATACAGGCCATAAATCTGGATTTGAAAACAAGTATTCACAGCAGTTACGAAATGTAGAAATCAAAATATAATTTGAGAAAAATGCAGTGGTTTAATGTTTTGCTCTTTTTACAATTAATATGGCTTAAAAAGTGGAAAAGACTATATTTAAGGATGCATCCAGATTGGTTTCATTTTTTGTCAACCTTTGTTGTATTAAAAGTCAAAGGACTTAAACCTAACATTTAAGGTGAAAGGCCAAAACTGATGACACAACTTTGGATCTAGAGGTTTACATTTTTATTCCCAAATCCCAACTGTTTTTAGTTCAACATTTTGCCACAAGTGATTCAAAATGTAACATTAAAGCAATGCCTCTCCGAGCGCATGGGCCTCTAAAAGTCATTTTTATGTGCATCTTCAAACCCCTGTGGTTTGAAAAAATGCAGTGCATTAAATAAAAACAAGCTCTATGTTTCACGGTACAAGCTGAGATTTATAACCGCACATATGAAAGTCAAAAAGCACACTGTAGAATTCCCAGTAAAGTTCAGCTGGCCTTTTCTGCAGGATGCTTCGGCTTCAGCTTGAGTGCTGGCAGTAGAATGCATCCAACTCTGTGTGCTCTTAA